TTTGAGGAAAAGTGAAATATAGGGACATACATGTCCATTTTTATATATAGATATAGATATAGATATAGATATAATACTATCTTCTTAGTATATTATTTCTACTAAAGGAATTTTTTTATTTTTATTTTGGGAAAAGAATGTCAAAATAGTTTTAAAAAGTAAAATACACACGTTTTAATATTTGAGATATTTTTGCATTTTTCGAAGATATTAACTTTTCGACTAAATAGTTTGGTTTTAATATACTTATTAATTCTATGTAAAACAAACGAAAATGCTTGCTTAAAGAAGATAGTATTGCAGGAAATTGCATTTATATATAAATCGATTTATGCGAAGTGTTTGCTTCTCATCTCTTGTCAATTTCCTTGAATTTACTTTACTTTGCCACTTTATAAACCGTATTATTTTATGTACTGTACGGTACTAATACAACAGGTTAAAATAAAATTATCTTGATGCATCTGAATTTTATTATGTTATAAAGAATGTACAGAATTAAAAATTATATATTAAAAATAATTAATGCAGATAGTATTCATATTTATTTCAAATGAATCACTTTTAAAGATAAAACTAAATAGAAGTTATAAAAATTATTCTCGAATGATGACAGGTGGTTGAGGGGGGTTAAATTAAGGCATCACCGTTCGGCCCTGGAAGATCAGAGATCGAATGTGGTTTGGAAAAACACAGGAATTTTTCTCAGGTGATTGTTCCGTATAATTTTGGCCCACTCCCTCACCGCCCTAGTTGCTTCCATTGGTTTAATCTATTAGGGGAATATAAAACAGATTCTCTAGTAACCAAAGCCGAAAATTTAAGAATTAATTTTCAAATATTAGAAGTAATAAATAAAAAATTCAGTTCATTGTATAAGAATGTTATTTATTATAATTGCAATAAATAGTGATTTGCATTTTATACTATCGATCATATTATTTTTCTTTCACTTACATTTGATTTCAATTCAGTAAATTTTCAATATGTTAGCTTATTAATAATAATAAATTTCATTTTCATAATCACTCTGTTATGCTAAGCTCTTATAGACCAAATATTTAAAATAAATACTGAAAAAAGTCTTTATATTTTTAATCAGTATATATGTTAATTAACTAAGAGCGATGATTAAAAACCTTCAAAATCACAAAATTTCTTTAGGTGTTAAATTTAATACATATATACAGTGTAACCTCAATTTACGAGCTTACATAGTTCGTGAAAACCTCTCGTAAATCGAAAACATATAAACAAGAACGAGCTTTAATGTTCTTTTTTTACGATCCAAATCTATACCTCGTTTTGGCATAATCTAGCTATTTATGTTTCTCAAATAACATGAAAATTCTACAAAGTTACCTGTCAACCAGTAAAATAAAAATAAATGCNTATGTTATGAATTCATTTACATTTTTAAAAAATTTTATTCTGTAGTTGCAAGAATATCATCAATGTCAGTTGCTACAGAATATCTTCCTTCTAATTTTGAAATTCTTTGTTTCAGTTTTTGTTGAGTAGCAGTATATTCAGCGAGAAGTCTAGCGAATCTAGTCTGAAGATTATCTAGTGCTATTTCCAATCTTTTGCATTTATCCTGTATATTTTCATGTTCGATTTCTGCCGCTTTCATTGCTTCTTCATCTAATAAACCATCTTTAACCAGGATTTGCCTTCCTCTTTCGATCAATAACTTTTGTGCTTCTGGATAATCTGCTAAAACAAACCATAAATCCTCTTTTGATAAACAGAATAGATCCGAATAACCAACACTTCTTACATTAGCTGTTCTTCTATTGCCCGTTTTGACTCCAGATATGTTGAGAATACTAAGTTCGCCAAAGACGCTTCCGTCACTAAGAGTAGCAAATATGGTTTTTCCATCGTCTGCGACTACACTCAACTGTCCTCTTTTAACGATGTACATCTCTTTCCCTACATCGCCTTTGCGACATATATAATCTCCTGGACTGAATACCTGTAAAGTTAATCTGAGAACTAATTGTACTAAAAGTCCCGGTTCGCAATCCTGAAAGATTCTCACTCGTTTTAGTGTATCTAAATGCACGTGAATAGCAATTTCAGCTTTTAACTTATCAGGTAATGTTGAAGTAATGGAATCTTCATTCAAAGATTGTTTATTAGTCCAAAGGTAATCAAACCACTTAATTACTCTTCTTTCCAAATCTTTACCTACCTTCCTGAATTCCAAATATTGCTTGACATTATCCATTCGACTTTGAAATTCGGCTCTAGCAGCATTCATATTTGTAATCATGCTACCTACATTACCTACAATGGTAGCAAAAATCAAGACTCCAACCAAAAAGTCAGCAACAACAAAGACATATTCAACATCTCTTTCTGGTATGGGTACCTCTCCAATAGTGGTTAGCGTTAATGTAGACCAATAGAAACTGTAGATATATTGGTGTGTTAGTGTGGCATATTGAGGATCACTGATATTTTTATATACCCACGTGTCTTTGCCAAAACCTATGGCATAACTCATAGCAAAATAGAAGCATCCGTTCCAATGGATAATGACTAAGATGTAGAAAATGAGTTTTCCAATTCGAAATGCATATGGAAAATTTGTTCGGGTTTCTGTACGATCGAAGAATTCCATCATTCTATAAAATCTAAATAGCCTGTTCATTCTAACAATAACGCTACATGGTACACGTGATTCGCAATTTGTACCTAAAACTAAATAGAGAATATCCGTCGGTAAAATACTTAATATATCCAATTTGAAATAAATTGATTTCATATAATTCTGTACAAGTTTCCTAGAATCCTTAACTAAAAGACCTTGTTCCAGATAGCCTAGGAAGAAAAATAATTTATCAAATTAAACACAATAAACGAATATGTTAAAATTATCTCTTACCTGTTCTTGTATGTACAAAAATATCAATAAAATACGAAAAATCGCAAATGTAATCCAAGAAATACCAAACGAGAGGACACGCATTCTGCAACTTCCAAAATACACTGCGTCCAATTATAAAAAGTAAATTATATAACACAGCAATGTTTATTATTGATAACCATCGATAATGACAGCTTTCCGATGGATCAATCACGAATCGTCCTTTGTATCTGTATTAAAATAAAATCATGTTTTTTATAAACATTTTATTAAGTTCTACCATATCAAAATAATATATATTAATATCTTTACTAATATCAGTAATATTAATGCATTATTGTATTGCATAAAAATTGAATATTTTCTTTTAAAAACACTGTTTTAAAAGAAAATATTTTGATATAAGATAACAAAGCACTATATAAAAATAATTAAAATACTAATTAATATTCAAATACATGTTTTCATTGTACAGCATATCACTAATGATTTGATAGGAAGCTACAAAATGTTTCCAAAAGTTTGTCGAAATTCGAGTTTCCTGGACACTACTGTATTTATAATTGTGTAAATTGATAACAGAAAATAGAAAAATAAATTATGTTAAAATAATTAATTGTAAAAATAACACCATTTTATGTTCAAAGCATCTTAATAATGTCTATTCGACTTAATACATATAAATAGAAAACGATTATTATTTATATCTCTAGTGTAATTATATGATAAAGGTCATTATTGAAACTTTTTTTGGAAAAGTTACAATTTAGAATTTTCCAAACAAATTCTAATTTACACATACTGGGATAATCAGATAAGTTACAGGACACTGAATTATCGGATGCCGGATTAACAAACCTCTACTGTATGTAGAGTCACTTTGAGCAGTTTTTTTCACTATTAATAACGTTGAAAATATAGTTTAACCTCTAACAGTCATTGTGAGTGCCATTGGTAATTCGGCAAACATGTCATCTAAATTCAATTTTTTTAAAACTCGAAGTAGCATATCTGTTTTCACTTTGGTAACTTCGACGGTGATTCGAGTTTATTCCGCCCTTTCGGAAAGGGCGGAATAAACAATACATCTTTAATAAAACATCGGAAGAAACAAGTGGCGGACTGTCTTGCTTAAAATGCACGAGTCATTCCATGTTATCGTTGTTTGACTGTGGAATGAGAAACTTCCAGAATATCCAGGTACACAATATCCCTCATGGAAGAAAAGGAAAGGATACTTTATCTTTGCTAAGAGCATAAAACATTTTTTATTTAGACTTACCCATTGTGAGTTTGGCCAGACCTGCATTGAGGTATATACGAACTTCAGTGTGGACCGGAAGTTACGCGATTTCAAAATTTTTTTCAGAACGAAATTAGACAGATGACCGGTATGACTCCGTTATCACTAGGAGAAGTATGGTGTATAGAGGGAAGACTACTAAAATCGAGGGCCTATATTTTAAATCGGTTGTGGTGAAGGACTATGGACTTATCAGTCAGTTGTTTTCAGTCGAGTAAGTATTGTTACACGATTTAAGATTGTCACATGCTAGACAATTTCTCGCGCAGGAGAATGTCTCTGAGCGACAAAAAGTTGTTGATACACGATGGGCACAAGAGGAGAAAAGTTGCCAAATTTGTAGATAGCAAACATGAATGCTAGTGACCCGCTTATATAAAATGAAGAGCAGTTTTACGTACTCTATTAAAAAGGCGTGTCAGAAAAAACATTGTTAGGGGCAGGAGATTGGATACCAGTGGCGTGCCGTCATTAGAAGCGTTGGAAGCACCGCTTCCCTCGTATTCTCTAAAAAATAAATAAATATTAATTTTAATTATATGAAAATAATCGCACAATATTTTATTATAACCGCATTATGTATCTTATTACAAATTTCTATATTACACGTGGAAAAAAAAATGCTATTGTATATTAGAATATTAGTGGCGGAGTAGAATCTCCTGTATTTTCAGATTACGAAAAGCCAGATTTGCGCATGCGCTTTACAGAGCACCAACCTCACCCGGTTTAGCCGGTGGAAGCCTACAACCTTGGGTGAAAGCTGCACACATATAAAGA